ACTGAATTGTGGGTCGCGTTAAAATGTTTGTAGCACAGTCTCGAAGTCGGTTACAAAAAATCTCTCTCAATTTTCCCCATAACGATGTCTGACCATGGTGGTCCCAAAGGAGACCGCATTGCGACATCACCCGTCTGTTGCTAGATACGGTCATTAAAGAGAAACTAGAAATTGAATGGGTATCAAAGCAGCAGTTACTTGGTACTGGAAAGCGGTATTCCAATTTCCAATTAATCGCCTGAATTCGCACTGAAAATCGATAGTCTCTGAAAGTGGGATTTTTGTGAATAGTAAAACTGAATCCAAAGAGTTTGGGATGATATACTTGTCTTTCTTCTTTTCATTTTACTTCCTTTTATTGAGTATTCAAACACAGTTTTCAGGAAGAGGAAGCGGTCAATCATAGGGATGTCATTCAACACACAACGGAGGGAAGTCAGACGGTGNGGATTCGAACACATCACCGGGATGACAATTTGGTGACGGTACCACCGGTCCACCACCGCCAGTCTTAGATCTGTTCGACGAGTTCGAATCTGTCTTTCAGGCTATAGACAGAGACTTATTGTCTGATCGGGTCAACTAGTCATCTTATCCATTTGGCTGTAGCATGGTATGGGGATTCCCCCGACCAAGGAGGGGAGGGTGCATCAACGAACTAGCCGACCGGAAGTTGGTGTAAATACACAGTCTGGATTGATGTATTACAGGAACTCCTTCGGTTGACCAATAATGTAAGGAGTTGAAGAAGGAAGTAAAAAGGTTACGACAGTACTACTCTGCGTCGATCTTGAACAGCTTGTTTCGGCAATATCCACAAACCAAATTCAGCGCGCAACGGGAGCTAGCCACACGAAATCCAGACATGAATAGACAGGAATTGCCGCCCGTTATATGACCGCTCATAGTATACATACATTAGTGGCAGATGGTTATTACATAGAGAGGGTATGAAAATTATTGTTTGCGTTTGGACACGGGATATCCTCATAGAAGTGTACGAGCGAATCAATGCTGATAAATAACTACTACGGACTTTGTGTGGCAAACAAGAGAAAAGGTGAACTCCAAAGTGACGAGCACCATGCGAACCGGCAAAAACCTGCACCCTGAGATTCAGAGTGGAGAACTATGTAAAATTTTGCCGGATATTGCGAGTCAATGACTTCAAACTGATAGACGATTTATATTCACAAACTGATATCGGTCGGAGATGTCTGGCATATGTCTTTCTTACAAACGTCCACAGTAGACAGTCCTCTCGACTCTGAAAGTCTTAGTATGATCGAGAGTAGGTGTTTCAGGTTGTGGCTGATCACCATTCCCTCGTATCTCGTAAAGTGTTCCCATAGGACCGAACGTCTCTGATGAGGAAGCCCTACGCACTACCTTCCTGTGGTGCAGGAGCTTTTCCAACAACGCGAAAGTACAAAAAGCCAATATACGGGTGTATAATCGGGTCCGTGAACCACAGGCAGTTTTACCTGGAGGAAGTAACTAAAAACGCCGTTTCCAAACCAACCAATAAGAGATGTAACAACCACACACCTTCCTGGCTGTTACAGTGGTCACCAGCTCGATTAAGGTTTATTGGGCACCTGGGGCGTTTGACTCATCCAAAGAGCGTATGATCCGATGAACTGGATACCGGCCCCCGATGGATTACCATTTTTACACCCCACCCCACTGCCTTGCGGGTCAAGGTTTGATTATGAATCCCGCAGGAATATTCACTTGCTTTGGCTTGGACAACGTGGCAGTGTATGCGGACCACCGGCAAATCACTGAAAATTTTATTTTTAAAAACATTCTCGCATCGTTATTTTTTGGCATCCCGTTTCAGATCAAACACATGAAATATATATCCTTAAGTTTTGGGAAGCTACATCTCACCTGGCGGACGCATCACGGATGAAGTGTCGGCGCACATACAAAAGGTTCGGTTGGTATTTGCAAAATTGAGACATCTGTGGCGCCGTCGCGACTTCCGGCTGTCCGTGAAGGGTCGAGTGTATGTTGCAGTAGTTCAGCCAATTCTGCTCTACGGTGCAGACTTGGCCACTACGAGAACAGGACAAAAATAGATTGTCCGTGTCCGAACACGGCCGTCTACGTAGCATTTCACGAGTCTGGTGGCGTAACTGGACGAGTAATGATGCGGTTAGGCTTAGAGTTTTAGGCAGTCGCGGTCGTCCACTGGAGCAAGTGATCGACCTCCATAGATTGCGCTCGTTGGGGCATGTTTTACACATGTCACCAAATAGGTTACTACGGCGAGCGATGCTTGCCGAGACAGGTAGCGATTGGAAAAGAGTCAAGGGTGGCCAAACGAACGCCTGGCATGAGGGTATGAAATTCCTAACCAGGAGACTAGGTCACATAGGCCCCGTTAGACTCCCTGGCTGGGGACCTCGGGATGATAGTCACCGGTAGTTGGGTACACTGAGTGATATGGCTGGGTGTCGCAAACAGTGGCGCTCGTGTATCCATTCATTATTCTCCTAACACTACTCTGTATGAATTCTCCATCTTCTGTTTGAATTTGCTTTCAACATTCCAATCTATCTGCTCTTTTATCCAAATGGGGCACCAAACGACAGCAACCAAAACCGGCACACGAAAGTGCATGGCTAACGGTTGTGAACCTGGAAACGGGTTGGAGATTCCATAAAATGTCAGTGTGAATCGCCCTGGGCCGTATCCAGGACTGGAGCACAACTCTCTGTTAATCCCATAACTGTCTGAAATGAGTCAGTTTTTTAGAGGACATCTGACTGTACATCAATCTAAAAGGAACAGCGCATCTCTTGGATCAATCTTTCTATAACGACTAAGCTTAGATGTTCTTGTCAATAAAGATATGTTTTGGGAGCAATCGTAACATTGCATTTACTACCTAGAGCCGTAATTTAACCTATTGCAGATGGAAAAGGAATTCAGGAAAAGAAAGATGTTATTTAAATTAGAATGTACACTGTTCATCAACTAGTCAAGCAACACTTGTTCGTGATAGACACATTCTCACGAAAGGCATAATATGGTAAAGTTTACCCTATTTTACAAAATAACTGCATTATGTATAGTGTACTTACATGATAGAGCATCGCAGCCGTCATCCAAACCCCACCAGCACCCAAAAGCATGGATAGATGGTCCTCCTTCGTGGTTGTTTGCTTCCTCATTCCCGATACATGAGATACGGCGGCGTTTACAAGCTCGTGTGCTTTGGACAGCAGAAACTGACGTGCGTCTTGTGGTATTTCATTTTTATGCTTCTGCAACACGATTAGCGAAGCCCAAGCAAGCCCTATATAACCGGTGTAAAGACCGCCTTCGTAGTTTCGAGGAGTTGGTGGTACGTGCTGTATGGTGATTTTGAAATACAAAAAAGAAACAAAAATCGAACAGGGAAATGAAATAATGAGTTTTGTCTCGATGAATCAAAGAACGACAAAACATTGCGTGTTGAATAGATTTATAGGGATGAACCAACCACGATGTGTGTCTAAGTTTTAAATTTTTATTTATGCCATTGAAAAAGGATGGTACAGGTAATCTACTGGAAATATCCATTTGATAGCATAAGGGAGAATCGGTGACTCATTTTCACTTGGGCGCTTATCGAGAACTTCAAGTGCAGGAGTTCAGGCGGACGGTGCTATGAGATTACATGGCTCATTAAGACAGTGGATAAGGTTATTTACCTCAATGCTGGTATATAGTCCGGAAGTATTCCAGATTGAAGACATCATTGTGTGTTTCACACAACCAAACGCGGAAGTTATTGTGGAGAACCAATTTACCGATTTGAGATATCCTTTTCTGTTTAGATATACTTACTACTCACGAGTAATAAGAATCCGAAAATATAAAACCTGAAAACTCACTTGAGATGAGAGCGTAAGCAATTCTGCATGTTGAACATCAATTCCTGGATAGATGTTAGCTATCAAGTGCTGTTGTGATTTCTACAATATTCTACAAGGAACACGCTGCATGACTTATCACACTGTCAGGTTAGTTGTTTAAAAGCTCATAAAATGCATAATTCTTCGTCAAAGCATAACGTACAATATGAATTGGAAACGTTGCAGTGTGAACTAATGGGGTATCTCTCCATTAAAGGTAAAACTTTACTCACCGCTAAACTGTTTTGTAGACATTCAACTGCACGATCTAGTGCTAAAGCCGGTCCGAATGCCAATGGTTGATTTGGATCAATCACATCAGTGTAGGGATTGTTGAAGTAACGCACACTCATTTCGACCAAGAGAGAATCTAGAAAGAGTTTCAAGGATTCCAGATTATAACAGCCAGAGAGCATTCAAACTACTCAATACTAGTTTAGAAAAATGATCCAATACAGTTTAATGGGTGAAACATTTTACGCATACCTAATCCATGGTGGTGATCATGGTTAGAGTAGCTATGCATGGCGCAGTCCTGACAAATGTCTAAGATTTGAGTTCGCATATCACCCACAAACTGTGTAGTTCTTCCTCTCACTCCCAAATCATACGAGATAATTGCTTTTGGAACACAGCGCAGTTTAAAGTACAATGTTAGAAAGTCAAGTTATTGGAGTGATGAATCTCCTCTTCACTTAGGCGCATTCAAAGCTCGCGCATTCTACCAGATCGATCAACAAGCTGTATTAGTTAGACGCCTTGAAACTTTTAAATTAGATGTATTCTGTCTCCGAAAACGCATAAGACCCTACTTCAAGATCACACTGCATTGTTAATATACAATCTCATCCTCACGAGTCACTCTTTGGTGAGTGCAATGCTCGGGTGGGACCCCTGGAAACTTATCCAGGCGGCTTATATGTAATTTTAGCCAACTGGACGGACAACGGAGATCGCTTACTTCAACATTGTGCAGATCACGTATTGTTAGTGCCAAGCACCAATTTCTAGCACAAGACACTAAGCCAACTTACATATAAACCCCTTACCTCTTAGCAGCGATGGACTGAAATCGACCACATCACGCCAAGCGATCGACGGCGGGGGGCTATTCAAGAATGCAGCTCTCAGTGGTCAACACACGTGGATAAGGATCCTGGTGTTATGAGCCTCTCAGTATAACCACCAGCCGAAGGATTCGATCAAAACCGGATGTTAGTGAAATAAACAAAGAAATGGCGGATTACGGCAAACTATCAAAGGAGAAATGACATATCTCCTTGACCTTGAATACCTTTCTGAACGACGGTACACTGATTCAATTTCAGAAACGGCATCTTGAATGATGGGCTGAACATTTCGAGCCTCATTTAGAATGGCCCCATCCACAACAGATCTACCAAACCAAACCTGAACTGTTCAACTACTGCCAGTTGATATCAGCCCTCCATCTGAAACGGAGGTTACCAAGGAAATAAAAAGGTATAAAGCGTATGGCGCGGATGGGCTGTTCCCATTGGCTTTTAAGGATGGGGGTTCAGCCTCGGTTTTAGAGTTGAAGAAGCTCATGGGTTCAGTATAGGAAAGCGAACAGGTTCCAACTGAATGGAGTGAATCGGTCATCTTATCAATCAACAGGAAAGGTAATCGGTCCTCTTGTGAAAACCACAGAGGAATTAGTTTGATCATTATTGTCTCAAAGCTTCTCGCTGGCATAATACTCCGACGATTGTCTACTGCAGATGAGAACCAGGCTGGTTTTAGATCTGGTCGAAGTTTATGGACCACATTTTCACTGTTGGTCGAATTCCAGGACACAGGTATTCCCTCCGTTGACCCACAATTTTTATTTTCCTTCATCTGAAATCGCCACTCGACTCAGTCGGCTGCACTATACACAGGAGCGGCCTCCTGTTTACAATTCCTTAAAGTAATAGCCGAAGCCGAGCTTGCACCAGCGGCACTTTTTCGCCTGGATTCAAAACGGAAAGCGGTTTTCGTCAGGAATGCTCTCTTTGATATATATATCTTTTCTACTCAATGATACAATCGATATGGTTTCGAAAACAGCTCTGTACACTTGCGAGAAATGCAGCATCGATTTGCTCTCAGGTGGCAAGTTACTTCATTTGACGACTTNGACTTTGGTACTGTTAAGTGGTAGTTGCAACTTTTCCTGCATAGTTTGTTAATGTTGGTGCCGCGTTGGTAAAGATATATCATAATGAGTAGTATATGGATGACTAGACAATTTCCCTGGAAGCACACGACCGGTTTCGCGGTTCTTACCGCTCGTCAAGTATAAGTATCCGCTAATCTTTTGTCAATTCATTCATATACGATATATATATTCTTGTAGTAAAGTTTGGCAACATATAGCATAATGCTTTTTCAGGACTGGGTTGGGACAGCTTCATTCGTCACTCTAACTAGGGAGACAATACTAGTTTTTCTTTCCAGGTGGTAGCATATCACCTGACAGACGATTTTCGTACTGGAGTGTCGGGAAGCATAAAGAAGGCTGGGTCAGCATTTGCTAATCTGAGATACATACGGTGCCGTAACG